AGACCAAGTGATAGGCTTCCTCGAACATATCTCAAAATTCTCTTCAAGGCCTTCCAGTGTGTGTAACTCGGATCCTCCATAAATTTGCTCGTTATCCCAACACTCAACATTAAGTCAGGTCTCATGCTTGTAAGATATCTCAGACTTCCAACTAAACTCCGATATCTCCCAGAATCAGCTCGATCTCCTCCATCAAACTTTGAAAGTTTTGTGCCTGGTTCCATTGGAGTTGAAACCGGGTTGCAATCTTCCATTTTAAACTTCTTTAGGATATCAAGTGCATACCTTTCTTGGGATATAAAAATCCCTTCATCCGATTGCTTCACTTCTAGGCCAAGAAAATATTTCATCAAGCTTAAGTCAGTCATCTCGAACTCTTTCTTCATTATCTCCTTGAACTCCTTGATCAGTTTAGCATTGTTTCCAGTGAATATGAGGTCGTCGACATAGAGAGCAACTACCATCATATCTTTTCCTGATTTCTTTATGTACAAGGCATGCTCATACGGACATTGTTCATACCCGTTTTTCTTGAAATACCCATCAATCCTTTCATTCCAAGCACGAGGAGCTTGCTTCAGCCCATAGAGAGCTTTTCTCAATCTCAGCACCTTCTTTTCATCTCCTCTCTTCATGTAACCAAGTGGTTGCTCTACATACACCTCCTCCTTAAGCACCCCATTCAGAAAGGCTGACTTCACATCCATCTGTAGAATTTTCCATTGTCTCTGAGCAGCTAATGAGATTAGAAGTCGGATTGACTCCATTCTCGTGAGGGGAGCAAATACTTCATCATAGTCTACTCCTTCCCTTTGTTTATAGCCCTTCACAACAAGTCGGGCTTTATAGCGGTCAACCTCTCCCTCAGCATTCATCTTCTTTTTGTACACCCATTTTACTCCAATGGGCCGAGCTCCTTCAGGAAGGTTGGTCAATTCCCAAGTTTTATTACGTTCAATCGCCTCAAACTCCTCATCATAGCTGTTCTCCACTTCTCATCTTGGACAGCTTTCTCAAAACTCAAGTCTTCAGAGTCGGCAAGAAGACATACAGCATGGACTTCACTTGTAGTGTCGTAAATTTCCCTCAGGCTTCTCATCCTTGGCTGTTGTAGTTCGGATTCTTCATCTGAGAGCTCGGTCGTAGTTATTGTTGAAGGTACAACAATGTCCGAGCTGGTTTCTTCTTCGGCCGAGTTACTCCAACACCATTGCTTTGTTTCCTCCACGTGAACATCTCGGCTCACCACCACCTTTTTGTTATCAGGATCAAATAACTTGTATGCTTTGGATTTTTCATCATATCCAATAAATATATACTTCTTGCTTCGATCTTCTAACTTTGTCCTCTGCTGTCTTGGTACTTGCCCATAGGCCAAGCTACCGAACACCCTAAGATGAGAAACACTTGGCTTCATGCCACTCCAGATCTCCTGAGGTGTCTTCTCTCCTAGCTTTGCATGTGGACATCTATTTTTCACATAGACTGCACACTGCACTGCCTCTGCCCAAAACTTCTTCGGCATATTCTTCCCTTTCAACATAGATCGAACCATATCAAGAATAGTTCGGTTCTTCCGTTCCGCTACACCGTTTTGCTGCGGAGAATATGGGATATTTAGTGATCGAATTCATTTCCGTCGCTAAAAAATCAAAATTTCTAATTTAGCGACCGAATTCAATTCCGTCGCTAATTTTAACTAATACTTAGCGACCGGATTTAATTTCGTCGCTAAATTTTAACTACTATTTAGTGACCAAATTCAATTTCATCCCTAATTTTAACTACTACTTAGTGACCGAACTAAATTCCGTCGCTAAAAAAATCAAATTTTATAATTTAGCGATCGAAATAGTGACCGAATTTAATTCCTTCGCTAATTTTAACTACTAAATTCGGTCGGTAAAAAAAATCAAAATTTATAATTTAACTAACAAAATAGCGACCGAATTCAATTCTGTCGCTAAATTTAACTACTATTTAGCTACCGAATTCAATTTTTTCGCTAATTTGAACTAATATTTAGCAACCGAATTAAATTGCGTCGCTAAAAAAAATAAAATTTATAATTTAGTAACCAAAATAGAGACCGAATTTAATTTCATCGCTAAAAAAATAAAAATTTATAATTTAGTGACCAAAATAGCGACTAAATTTAATTCCGTCACTAAAAAATCAAAACTTCTTATTTAGCGACCGAAATAGCGACCGATTTTCTAGCAACGACTTATTTTGGTCGCTAAATCGGTTGCTATTTTGATTTTTCATAATTGGTCGCTAAATCAGTCGCTAAATAGCGACTGATAAATTTCGGTCGCTAATTTCGGTCGCTATTTTGCAATTTTCTAGTAGTGGATCTCTAGAAAATTAGAGATAGGTGGAGAATGATATTTTAATTCAAAAAAGAGATAAAATAAATAAATAACCAATTTCTATTTGTTATCATTAAAATATGAAAGTTTGAGAGATTTAAGATTGTCTTTTAAATTTAACAAAAGTTATAGTAACTAAAAGATATAAGGCAAGAAAACTAGAGAAATAAGAGAAAAGATGAATTTGATTGATCCGAGAAGAGAAGAAAAAAAAGTATAGAAAAACGGAAGATTACACGATACAAACGAAGATCAATTCACTTGCCATTGAAAAGTTTTCTTTGAAAAATAAAAAATAAAGTTAATAGAGTGATTTTTCAAGTCTTTGAACTACTAGAAAATCATTCATCACAATTTTATAATTAAGTTATTTAAAATTTTATTCTTAATAGATAACATTTATTTTTTTGAATTCATTCATTATAAGAAGAATATTATTGACTATACTTGTAATTGTGATTACCAAAATTAGTTAATGAAAATAAAAATATTTAACTATAAACCTATATTTTAAAGCATAAAAAAATATAACTGGATAAAAATGTTTAGCTGAAACGAAATTCAAATTTAAAAATTTAAAATTATAAACAAAACCCTTTATTTTAAAAAAGTTAATAAAACAATTATTATTTCTTAAAACGGTGAGCGGTGACTTATACTGTGAATATACTGTGAATTAATAGACTTTATTTTGATTTTGATTTTATCTGTTAGAAAAACGGTGAGCGGTGACGACAACGACAGCGAAACCCATTTTTGATTTTGAACCTATCTCTCCAATTGGGTTGAATCATTTAGGCGTTTTCATGGATTGAAGTTAGTGTTTTCATGTGTGTATTGATCTTTCTATGTAAAAATGTTGTTTTATTCCTGCACACGAGTGTCTTGACATTGCTTTCCTCTGCAGCGATTTTTGGCGACAACGGTGCGAGACCTTTGGACGTCTTTCCGTTCACGATGCATGACAGCAAGACCCATTCTTTATTTTGGACCTATCTCTTCGATTGGACTGAAACATTTGGATATTTTTTGGACGTGTTCATGGATTGACAAGGTTATTTTTTTTGGTCTGTCAACCATTTCTCATTGGTTATAAAAACACCAATGTAAATTTACGTCTCCTGCATTGACGTCAGACTTTTTCTAATGTAAAAAGTCCAAAATAACAGACATAAAATGTCTCTTTTGTACTAGTGTCAATTTTATATGAATCTTATTCATAGAATAAGTAGCTGATTAGATAGTTATTACCAATTCTATAGCTGGCCATAAGGCCTATATGCTTAGGGATTTTTCGGTGCTTGCTCCAGGCAGCCATGGATCAATCTTTGCTATTGTGAACACTACGACTATGAGAATGTGAAATGTGATGAAATGAGATAAGACATGAAATTTCGTGACAAGTAAAGTGATGAGTCCATGAGTTTGTGAATGTGTGACATGCATCAAGATTTATATGCATTATATGACGAGGTATGATATGGAGTACATCGTTAGGAAAAACCCTCCAAGTGTGAAACATCTTGGAGGAGTCCTAGGGGATAGTGTGGTTTTCTCTAAATATTTTTTCACATAAATAACTATTGGTATTAATTATGTAGGAGTGCATATAAATATTTTTTTAATATAAATTAATGTCTTGCTCTTACAAAAAAAAGAAAATGGGATTGATACTCAACAACAATATTATCATCACTTTTAAGCAATTTATAATTTTTTTAAGTTTTACTTATTGACCGAATAGAATTTCGTCACTAATTTTAACTAATATTTAGCGATCGAATAGAATTTCGTTGTTAATTTTAACTAATATTTAGCGATTGAATTTAATTTTGTCACTAAAAAAATCAACATTTCTGATTTAGAGACCGAATTTGATTCTGTCACTAATTTTAACTAATATTTAGCGACCCAATTTAATTCCGTCGCTAAAAAAATCAAAATTTCTGATTTAGCGACCGAATTAAATTCCATCGCTAAATATTAGTTATATTTAGCGACCGAATTGAATTCGGTCGCTAAATTTGACTAATATGTAGCGACCGAATTCAATTCCGTCGCTAATTTTAACTAATATTTAGTGATCGAATTCATTTCCGTCGCTAAAAAATCAAAATTTCTAATTTAGCGACCGAATTCAATTCCGTCGCTAATTTTAACTAATACTTAGCGACCGGATTTAATTTCGTCGCTAAATTTTAACTACTATTTAGTGACCAAATTCAATTTCATTCTAAGTCGGTTTTTGTCAAAAACTGACTTAGATTAACACATACATCTAAGTCAGTTTTGTTGTAGAGCCGTTGTAGATTATATTTTTTTAATCAGGTTAATTTTTAAAATAAAACTGAATAAATTATAAATATGTAAAAACTGATTCAATAAAACTAATCCAATTATCCAATGTGAGATAAGCCACATCAAAATCCAACATAAACCAAAAGAGACCAATATGAAATCCTTATCACTATAAGAATGACCCAATTACATCATTATCATTATATAATAAATAATACTAAAGAAGCCATATACTCAAGAATCAAGACAGACCTATCTGAGATCCAAAAAGAAGAGTATTTTTCTTACAAAGAGAAGAGAAGCTCAAAAAATTAGGTCATACTACATTAGACATGTACTTAGCCGCCTAATGCTAAAGCCACATTCACGTATTTCTAAAATTTACATGTAATACTAAACCTTTCAACATGATCTATTTCTAAATTTTTCTAAAATGAAATTTCCCCAATGAATCCAAATGTCTTCTAATTTGGTTTCCTCCAATGCTGTAGTATCTTCAAAAAGCTGCAACATAATACATCATATATTAGTTACATCATAATAAGCATTAAAAGAAATTAACAATATTTTTAAATGTACCTCACTCCAACCATTTGTTATACCCCCTTCAATTATTTCTGACATCCAATTCATGACATAGTATCCACATTCGTAATGTCCTTGTTGTTTATAACTCTAAAATGAAAACCAAATTGAGTAGTATAAGTAATTTTTTTAATTAAGACAATAAAAGACACTTGTTAGGAACATTGACTTTAATTACAAACCACTTACCATGGGGTAAATCCATTCTAAGTTCTTTGATAATGTAGTAGATCTACCATTCATGACATTATACACAGCCATAACACTAAAGAAAATAAAATGAATGTAAGTTACATTATTAAAATTTTATAATAAAGAGCATAAAATTAAAACATGTGTAAAAATTAAAGTTTACCTTTTGACTAAATTTTTGACATGCATAGTGGGCTTATGATGCAAAGAACAAAACCATACAACAACATTACTTATAGGACAAAGAACCAACAACTGCCAATGATTTCTACATTAAGCCAAAATTAGTTAAACAATACATATATAATTTACATAAATTAAATGCAATAAGAAACATGCACTTACTGATCAATGTAAGGAGCTAAGTAAATTTGCCAGAGGCCTCTATACTGCTGTACTTTACTATTTAAAACCCCATTAAACCATTTTTTTCCTTGAGATAAATGTCTAACTTGTAGCAAAACAACAATACAGCTATAAATCCTCATAAGTGGGCAGAGATTAGCAAATCCTTAGATGTTCATCAGTCATCATTTTCTTGACACATGGTTTTCCTGGTAAACTGATTATTGTTATTTATTCTTTTTTCCTTTTTTTGTACTCAAAAGCTGCTCTTGTCATGTTTCCATTGTTTTTAATTTACTCCTAAAATGGGTAAGTTACACTAGGAAGTTGCTATTTATACCTGTTAAACCGAGAAAATCAACTTCTCTTATGAACTTGGGAATGAGAAGAGAGAAATTGATGGAAACAAACAATGTTGTTGAACAATTTTATTGAAGCATTGAGAATGGGGCAAAATTATCTCTACTCGGAGGGTTTCTCCTTTAGGATTTCTACCTTCTCAAAAACCAAATGCTCAATTTACAAATGGTGGCAGATATTAGTGAATTTGCATCCCTTAAGTTATCATATTTATTTATGTCATCGATTCCCTCACTCTAACTAACTAAAATTGTAATTGCAACTCTATTGAAACTACCCTTCCCCACATTCCTAACAACTTCTCTAATTCTCAACATAATATATCAGAGGAATTCATAAACTTTTTCGGTAGTAAGAACAATATATGAGGTAATCAAATGAGGGACAAAAAATATATGAGGTAATACTAGAACAGAATACAAAAAACAATTTCAAGATACATCAATATATAATAAACAAAAAAACAAATATATGAGGTAATACCAGAACGGAGCACAGTGATAAGCTGCCCTCCCTGGTTCGTTCCAGTAAACACCACAGATGGATGAAGAAATTTGTCTTACGCTCAAACAATTTCAAGATAACCTGAAAACAAAAAACAAAAAACAAAAAAGATATGAGTATATAATAAGCCAAAAAAACACTTTAGTATATAATAAATTAATGTCATGAAGAACATTAAACATGTCATTCAGCCAAAAACAATAAACCGAATACAGTAATCAAATGAGGGAGCAATGATGGTACAATGAAGCTACCAATGAAAAATGCATAAACAGAGACACCTGGTACATTGCCGCAAATCCATTTTGGAACCCTCTAATAGCAAAAGAATCGTGCGCATTTTGCCACACGCGAATAGAGCGATAAAAGAGTTTCAGGAAATAGGAAAAAGATTCACAGAAGAAAAAGAGAGAGAGACTGTTACTCGCCTGAATGAAAGGAATGAATGATCGACTTACGAAGCACGCAACAACTGGTGCAGCAATGCTCAACAGAAAAACGAATTTGAGGAGCGTGCGCCATGAAGAGATGCACCTTTTTGCAGTCGCAGGTTGCAATCTCCTCACAATCTGTTCGTGTTTTTGGAATGGAATGGAGAAACATGGTGTTTACGGTTTTAGGGCTATGGGTGGGAGATGAACCGAGAGAGAACAAAGTGAAGGGCGCGGATGTTGAGAGCGCGAATTTGAGGTTCATATCTAAGTCGGTTTTAGAGGAAAAACGACATAAATCACAAGAGTTATCCAATTCTACTACGGTTATAATGTGAACCGTCGTAAATTACGTTACCTTTATTTACAAAATTGCCACCACATCTTATTCTACATTGTTTTTTAGAAAACCGACTTAGATAAATCAATTTGTAGTAGTGCTTCTTTGTTTTGTCCATCCTGACCAAAGGTTTTTACATTTCATGTTACATTCACAAAATCACAAAAGAAAGGCCATATGTGTATGGAACATTTGTCCTGGCATGACTATAAGTTTAAAACAATACTATCATATATATATATATATATATATATATAAAATAAAAAATGATATAATAAAATAAAATAAGAACTATCATAATATTTATATTTGTTATCTGTTGATGATTGTGACAATAATAATAATGTCTTCTGATCACTAGGGTTAGTCTAGTAGTTGGGTAGGGAAGGGTTAGGGTAGTTAGAAGCACGATGACTTAGGTTCAATTGTCATTGCGACCATCTTTATAATCTTGTAATAAAAAAACATAATAATAATGTATTCTCATCTCATCCTTGGTGTACCTCTTCTCAAAAGCTATTCAACTTAACTAGTAATGTCTCAAAAACAGGAATTGATATTTATACCAATATTTTTTTGCCTTTTGATCATTATAAATTAGAAGAAAAATCAATATATTATTTTGGCATATAGGAATTACATGCGGCATTCCGAATCATACAGCATCTACAGTGTGTTTTCGTTCTGTTAGTGTTGGCAATCTTTAAATTGTACGTATCAAAAGAACCTTCACAATTGAAGGTTATAACCAATTGAGAGCTAAAAAATAACAACACTGCTGCCACTAATGTAATGTGTAAAACATTTTCAATTAAGTAATTTATTCCCAAATAAATACACTATATTCAAATACATTCATAGTGTGAATTAATAGGTTTTATTTTAATTTTGATTTTAAAAATTTTAATTGATATTTGAGACAGTAATTACTATTTATTGACTTATCTTGCTAATGATCTTCGTAGTTTGAAATGAAATAAACTCTCACGTTTCAGTCTCTATAAAAGTAAGAAACTAAAGTAAAGACAAAGTCACTACACATCATAATTCTTGTCCTTATTCACTACTAGATTTTAATCTTTTAGCAACATTTTCTTGTTTACATTTGTTAAAATGTTACTATATATTAAACAAATGTTATTTTGTAACACTTTTTGAAAAATGTTATTATAGATAGAGTAACATATTTTATTTCAATATTATTCTTTCTAATTGTTTTCAAAATCAAAGTCCCATATCAAGTAAAAAAAAAATTACATAAGTTATTTTGCAACATTTTTTTGAAAAATGTTACCATAATTGCTTCTAAATTCGAAGTCCCACATCGAGTAAAAAAAATTATTTCTCTTATATCTAATTGTAACCCATAATTAAAGTCTCACATCGAATAGATTAATGACTTATAAAGAGTATATATACCCACATAGTTATATTTATGATAAATGAAATTTGATATTCTATATATAATTAGTGGTGACTAACTAAAAATGTTTTTCCCTAAAAACTTAAGAAACTCTTAGAAGTTTAGGAGACATAAAAATATAATAATTAATAGTAATATTTAAATTAAAATTAATTATTATTTTATAAGATTAACAAAATATTGGCAACATCATTAAAATGTTACAAAAAATTATTAAAATGTTACAAAAATATTACTTTGGTAACATTTTAAAAAATGTTACCTAATTATGCAAAAATATTATTAAAAGTCTTTAGCAACATGGACTATATACAACATTTGATAATATGTTGCTAAAACAAATTAGCAACATTTATACATAATTAAGTAACATTTTTCAAATGTTGCTAAATACTATTTGTGTTGTAGTGATTCTTTGTTATTATTCACAATGAGGAGGCTACTCAATGCCAGAAAGTTTGAGTCTTTAAAGGAAGTTTTTAAGGTTTGATCTATTAAAGAAATATTCAAATACATAATTTCATTCTTAACATCATAAATTTTTTTAAGGTTTGATCTATTAAGGAAATATTAAAATACATAATTTCATTTTTAACATCATAAATGATATAGAGTAGATATTACTAGTCTATGAGACAATATGTTTCATCTGGTTTTATTACAGCTAGCGCCTTACACTTCCTCTAATAAAATAAATACATTTTCTCTTAAAAAAAACTTTTTGTTCCTAGTAAGTCCGCTGTCATCGTTAAGGTCACCACATCCAAGGTATTGTCCGTTTTGGTAATCATTAGGCTTTCACGGCTTTGTCCTTTAAAAGGCACGTCGGTAGGTTAAGGAGGGAGGGTGTTTATAAACTATCTTAGCCTTGACTCCTAAGCGATGTGAGACTTTTAGGCATACCGGAACATTTTTTATTTATTATTATTAAAATATAAAAGCTTCAACTATTCAAGATTGTCTTTTAATTTAGCAAAAGTTATAGAAATTAAAAGATATAAGGAAAACAAAATTAGAAAAGATAAAAGAAACTTCTTTTCTAAACTCATTTATTTTTTTTTAAGAATATTATTGACTATACCCATAATAATTGTGATTACCAAAATTAATTTATAATCAACATTTAGAGCTTTATAATCAACACAGCAACACCAATTGTAATCTATAGTAACTAGTCCATGATCCTTAAGCCATTGGACGACATCCTCAAGACGATCAATTGTGATTTTTCTGGTATTGTGTCTAGTCATGGCGAAAGGGTAAGCCGCACTAGTTGGTAGGATACTAATAGCTAGTCTAATGCTAAAGGAGGAATATTTTTGCTAATTCTCTACCATTTTCATTCATTTCTGCATTATTTATACAAAATGTTGTTGGCAATCCTTGGCTCAACGCAATTTAGGGAAAAGGAATCTAATAGAATGAAAATAATGCATGTGACAATTACAACCAAATAATATCATAATAGTATCTTATCCTTCCTTAGTGACTATACCAATTACACAAAGTGAGGAAGGTATGTGAGCCTCTTGATTCTCCTCTTGGGCCTAGTAACTTGGTGTGGATTGTTATCGGAATCCTACATCTATTATGTTAGATTTATTATTTCCACAATTCTAGCTTCTTGCAAGTCGGTCTTATCACCATGTCCCTATCATCCTAGGAATTAAGTTTTTTCCTTCTTCCATAATGAAATTAGAAATTTTCTTCTTAAAGTGCTTTGAGATTAGTTGTCTGTCATGGACCCTTAACTGCATAGAGCTTTTAAAATTAGTTCTCTAAAGTCATTTTTTTTATATGATGTTTCTTCATTATCCTCATAATCACTATCTTCTTTCTCTATAATTGTTTCATCCTAGTCCATTTCTTGGTTTCACATTCGCTTTTCAAGTTTTATTGGATCCAACTCTCTATTTTTCCAAATCTAAGAAGCTTATACAATAATTGTTGTTCTCCTATAAAATTTAGAGCTATTAATGACAATAAAAATATATGTGATTTATATAGAGGATAAATAGTTTGTTGTCTCCATAACAGGACAAAGGACAATGAAATATTATCACAATGTATTTGGAAAGGGAGACATATCTCACTACAAAAAATATGCAATTTAGCGACCACCAAAATCAGTCACTAAATTGCAAAAATCGGTCGCTAAATAGCTTAGCGACCGAATTTAATCAGTCGCTAAAATCCTGGTCGCTAAGCTATTTAGCGACTGAAAAATTTTCGGTCCCTATTCGACCAAATTAGTGACCGAATAAATCGGTCGCTAAATATTTATTTTTTATTTTATTAAATTTTATAGACATCGCAAATTTGGTTGCTATAAACTACTCATATTTGGCCCCTTAAGGATTTTATTTCACAATACTTAAGTTTTAGCATGTTTTGTCCTTAATTACACAATTTTTGGAAACTTCCGAGAAGGTCACCCATCCCTATATTACTCCAAGTCAAGTACGTTTAACTGTGAAGTTCTTATAAGATAAGCTACCGAAAAGCAAATGCATGTTATTAGTATAAGTCGTACAAATTAATTCATTTAAATCATTCTCAACTATCCAATCTCATACTTATATTATTTTTGGATCCTTATCATTTTGGTTTATCCGGACCGTTATAAATATATAATAATATATATAATAATTATATTACTAATAATTAATTATATTATATTTAGTTAATCTTTATTTATATATATACTTACTTTTATAATTAACAATCTACTTATTTCTATTTAAAATTAATTTTATGATACAATTTAAATTATTTATTATAAATTTAAAAGTTTAAGTAATAATTTATATATTTTAAAATGAGAAGGGTTATAATAACACTGGTATAACTTTTACTAAGTATTACACCGCTCAATAAATTTATATTAAATGTGAATTTTGTAAATCCAACCGATAGATTGAAAGTTCATATCACTTTATATGTTTATATCAATTTTTGTTAAAATTAAACAACAACTTAAAAGTAATCAAAGTGCTCATATTTTATTTGAAATGAATATATTACGTCAATTTTGTTTTACAAGAATGAAGTATCAAATCATCTTGAATTCATATAAGATTTTGTATATATGATCTAAGAGTAAAAAACTTTCAATCTAATGGTTGAATTTATAAAATTCACATTTAATATAAAGTTATTGAGCGATGTAATACTTAGTAAAAGTTACACCGATGTTATTATAACCCTTCTCTTTTAAAATATCTTTTTTATAAATTAAATTTTAATATTTTAAATAAATTATTAATTAACTTAATATATTCATTCATCTTAAATCTAAGATATAAAATTCAAAAAATGTATTTATCCTTGTTTTATTTTCTAATTATCAACCATTAATAAAATACTAATTTAAAATTTAAATATAAAAATTTATTTAAAAATAAAGTTATCATAAGTTAGAAATATATATTATAAATATGGATCAAAATAAATAAGAAATTTTAAAATTCATATACTCTAATTAAAAAACTGCCTAAAAATC